AGGCAGAGGTTGCAGTGAGCCGAGATCGTGCCACTGCACTCCAGCCTAGGTGACTGAGTGAGACTCTGTCTCAAAAAAAAAAAAAAAAGGAAAAAAAAGAAAATTTATAGAAAATCATCTCAGTTCAGGAGATTGGTATCCATATTTTTTAAATGGCTAATTAAAAAAGGAACAAATATTAGAGATTTTATTCACTTTTGAATTACCTTTTTAAAGTCTACTTTTATTATCTTATGTGCCTTTAGTCACTAGATTTTCCCCAATATATTTTCTATGTAAGCATTTTAAAGATACAATAATCATTTCAATAAAACCACCTGGGTACTAAGAGCAAAAGAGAAGCATAAATTCTGCAAAGTAATTGCACTTCATGATTTTAAAAAACCTCTTTGACAAGGTACCTCTAAAGATGAAACTAAAGTCTTTAAAAGTTCTACATTCCAGATTGTTTTTCCTCGAGAAGGAGACAAGAAGAGGGATGTGGTTGCCATGATTTGTTTTAAAGTCTCCTGTAACAAAATGAACATGTCAGTAGCCAATTGTGGTTGGCAAAAGGGTGTATTTAATAGAATCTGCAGGCAGATTTCCGATCTGCCCACCCTGCCCTACCCTCCCCTTTTGGGTTTGTTTGAGGTTTCATTCCACAAATAAGCAGCAGATAAAATACTTTACAAGGTACAGCACAGTTGTATTGAAGAAAAAAGGACCCAACTCTTAAACTTTAAGAGTATTAGGCCTGGACTTCCCCTGCCCCATGCAATAAAGCGAGTTTTATATACACTCCCCCATATTTTTTTCTAACATTTTCTTATATAAATTTAAATATTTTACAAAAAAAAGGCTTTTTTCCTCCAAACATATAAATTTGAGTGAAACATAGATTCCCCACCCAAGAACTTGTTTCTTCACTAAAATACAAATGTCGTCTGATATTAAGGGTAAATGTCTTTTGACCACTGGAGATCACTGAAGTCTGAATTGCACCGTGGAGAAGGCACTTGTGTTTTCTGAGGTCTCCAGCAAGTATCTCAGTGAGCACTCATAGAATTGCTGTCTGTCCTCCAGAACCCGTGCCAAGGCCTCCGAGTGCCCAGTTACTGAGGCAGCTGGGGAAAAATGTTGAGTAAACATGATTCTACAATTACGGAGATAAAAAATAAAAACAGCATGGACTGGTTCTAGCCTAGAATCAAACTACAACAAAATCCAAAGTGTTCATTCATGAAGATTCAAACTGGCTTCATTCTCTCATAAATTATAAAATACAAAGGTGGCTGTTTTAATGACAAAACTCAAAACAGTACTAAAAGGGGTTTGTGTCAATGGACAAAAGTCAGTCCCTCTAGGTAGGGCCCCAAGGAGCATCACCCAGGTTGAAGGGTGGTTTTCCTACTGCTGGGCCAAAAGTGCTGTCCTGTTGGCCTTCATCTTCTCCAGCCGCTTGGCCAGGTGGCTGTTGGTCATCTCCATCTCCTCAATCTTGTCCAGTGCTGTTCGTAACTGGAGACAGGGAGAGTGCAGTCACTACATGTGGTCAGAAACAACATCCAGTGCTACTCTATTTTCAACTTCCTGGGAAATAAAAGCACTGCTAATTGTGATGGCCTTGCGCAGGACCCACAGCCTCATTTTTTCTGTCAGAGGTGTTAAATGATGATACTGAGGATTGTTTATTTGTTTTAATCACAGAAAGGATATATAGAAATAGACCTGATCTGAAGCAGAAATAAAAACTATCTTTTTACTTATTATCTAATTGACCAAAACATAAAAGTAAATGGCAGTCACTATGCAGGTCAAAAACCAACACAAATTAGTTAAGTGACTCCACTGCTGTTTCCTTAAGTATCACATTTCTTACACAGCTAAGAATTTATTTCCAAAAGATTTTTTCTTTTTAGGAATGTGTTCTCCAAGAAGCATATTAAAAGAAGTACCTCTCGTTGTAGCTTCCTTTTTTCTGCTTTCAGTTCATCTTCAACTTTCTCAGCATTCTCAGCAGCAGTTTTATATCTCAGAACCTGTCCCTCAAGCCGGCTAATCTGTAAGTATGAGAACATAGGCCTCTAGTACTAGGCACTAGAAGTCACCACTTTTGGTAGCCAAGATGGAAATACAATGTCATTATAAATGCGAAGTAATCTAACACTAACAAGTCCCCTAAGGGTGAGTCATAAGTCCTCTTAGAACTCAATTGCTATTTATAAATCAAGAAATGTCCCCAGAGAGGATTACAGCTGTAGAGTCATTTTAGGGCCAATTTCCCATGCTAAGTTTTATTATGACCATATTGTTTAAGTGCCAAACCAATACAGGAGGAGACTCACTAAATGGAAAAGTTCTTAGACTTTTTGGAATGTGTAAGGGATTTTGTTACAAATGATGATCTTGAATTCTCTTGAAATATCTACAAAGAACAATGACAGCTATAGTTTCCTATGTTTTTAGAGAAAACAGAAGGCTAAAATGCCCCAATAAGTGCTCTCTGCTGGCTTTTCTATTTTAATACAGAACTATTATTGATCCAACTGCAAAGGCAACCCAGGCACTCATGGGGTTGTTAGCCACTTAGATGCAGGAGGGACATTTAAATCACTTGGTACCATATAGAAGTACTTACACTTTGCTCCAAGGTGGTTATATCCTGTTCTGCTTTTGAAAGCTTAAATTTGTATTCGCTAATTTGTCTATTGGCATCTCCTAGAACAGAAGAAGACAATAAATTATCTTCACCTGTCAGAGATGACGGTATGAGCCATCAGGCAGTAGAGAGGATCATGCAATCTTAAGATTACAAAATACAGGGCTGGGTGCGGTGGCTCACGCCTGTAATCGCAGCATTTTGGGAGGCCAAGGTGGGCGGATCACGAGGTCAAGAGATCGAGACCATCGTGGCCAACATGGTGAAACCCTGTCTCTACTAAAAATACAAAAATTAGCTAGGCGTGGTGGCACAGGCCTGTAGTCCCAGCTACTCGGGAGGCTGAGGCAGGAGAATCGCTTGAACCTGGGAGGTGGAGGTTGCAGTGAG